CCCCTTTCCCACCCCCAAATACGACCCTCCAACCTCGTTGGACTTTGTCCAACGGACGGTTGACCCTGCTCCGGATACCAACTTAGTAGGTCTGCCAACCTTGCCGAAATCCAGCTAATCCAGTATACCAGGACGAGCAGAAATGACGAAGCAGCAAAGCTATATTCCCCTCGTTCACCGGACGGGAATAAAATCCTAGAGATCGGATATTGCTTGGGTTAGCCATACCCTCAGACTGCTCGCCACCTATTAATTAGTACCAGACTCGTTTGAGAGGAGAAAAACCCTGCCTTGCGCATTGGCTGTTCACCACGAGTAACGGTGTTGAATAAACATGCTTTTTACGATTACGGACGGATGTCGAATGTGTGGCGCATCTCGAGACTGGAGCACTGTCATGCCATTTTATCCCGTCAACTTTTACCGTCGCAATTGGACTAATTTATCCTTGCTCAACTACACTGCGCCGTTCGGACGCGAATAGCACGGCGATGAAATACTTTCGAACGTCTACGCTGGTCATTGACGAGGAATCGATATGAAGCTGGTGCGGTTGAGTGCTGACGAGCAGTGAAGAGTGCAGCTCGAAGGCCGCCCTCCGCACACGGACTCTTGAGTCATCCAACCGCTTTCTGTGTCTTCTTCTCTCATTGTGCAAGTTTTCCCATTTCCCAAAGACGCAGTTGATTCTTGTCTGTTTGAGCTGGATGCCTTATCCTTGCGCGACACTATCCGTGTTCTTTCCCAAGTCATTCCTTTCGAGTCTCTTAGATTGTCATAAAGCTCTTCTAGTTAAATGTATCAAGCATCGATGAACATTTTGATGCTGATGTCATATTTGCCTGACTTGCTGCTACGGCTTAAGACAAAAAGTCGTTTTGCCCATGGCGCATAAGCAAACTCCGTCGCACAGGGTGCCGTTGTTGATGGGAGTTTACGGCGAATATTCCTTAGATGTCCCCCATAAGCAGAAGCAGGCCCTCCTTCACTGCCCTCACCGTCTTCAGAATATGACGTCATCTGCCATCACCGTCGAGCTCAAGGAGGCCTACCGTAATCGCTCCAGCCTGAAGCTGCTACATAATTTCTTCAATCAATTAAATGGTGGATAGGTTCCTAGAGATAGTATGTAGCTCTGGTTATACAAGAACCGTTCCGACTCGTGTGTTAGGTAAGATCGTAATCACCCACCATCCATCGAGAACCTCGTTGACTTCAAACCATACGTCATGCACCTGTGGGGGAATCTGACGTTGTCGAGGTGGGAGGCTACTATGAAGTCCTTTGAAAGAAGGGATGTGCCCATCACTTTTCAGTTGGGGTCATTTGATTCAAAATTGGTGAAAATAATTGGTACCTTTTCAAGTGGTAAGGGTTTTTTCAACTCCTCAGCCCCTGTAGATCTCTTGTAATACCACGTAACAGGCCGCGACTGCTCATCAGTTATTGCATTGTTGGTGACGGGCTGAAGATTGATGGCTGTTCTGCAGAAGAGCTTTCAAACTGTCGCACCATAACTCAGGTTGCACAGTCAGTTGTTGTGTCATGATCAAAACGTTAGATTAAGCTTCAACCGCAACCGCGACGCGCCCGCGCGCTCGAGGTGCATGTGAAACGGACTTTACCACTTCACAATAGTCGTTAGGCCATTACTTCAAGAAAAAAGGTGCTAACTTAGTCTTGACTATCCAGCATTTCATTTGCTGTTCTAACTTCCGAATAAAGTCATCATTAATACTTCTTTTCCCATAATTTTAAAGAATTGGCACACGCCTTCTCACTCCACTGTTGGCCCTGTCTTGAGGCAGAATGTCTTCGATGCCTCGATGCCCTTCGATAATGTCGTTTAGCTTCGCTTATTGGTTCAGGCGCGCGTCTGGTGCACTTTTCGTATCGAGTATAGGAACAAAATGGATTGTTCATTTCTCAGCTAGTGAATTCTCACTCATCCCTAGAGGAATATTCTGGAAACGAACCCATTTTTTCACATAATTTTTCACATAATTTTTCACAATTTTTTCACAGCCTAAGCATACTCAAGTCTTTTCTGCTCAAACTTTTATTGCTGGCATAAAGCGGATAAATGAAATGCGAATAAATAATGTTTTCATCTAATTACAGTTAAGGGAACTCACACTGAATATTCATTCCTCTAAAGATCTTAAATGAAGCAACACTGCAAATACACTGGAATGTTGCTTTAAGTACCCCTGACATATGTATAAAAACAACTGCAAACGTTGATTAGAAAGGAAGACCAATAGAAAAAAAGAAGGTTATTATGCGAATACATTTAACAAGCAATTACTATCCCACAGTCACTGCTCCACATCGGACCCGGGTTCCATTTGGGACATCAGCTGATTGCATATATCGCGTAGCTCAACGGCCTCGTTCTTCTGAAAAAAAGAAAGAGCGGATCATGACCACAAATCTCATTGGTCGTTGTCAGCGCTATTAGAACTTCTTCGCAGTGAAGTTCCCATTCGCACGTCTACACGCAGGCGCAGGGTAACGAGAACACGGCATTAGGCGAAATTTGGCTGCAGAGATAATATGTACGCGAAGTCGACCAAGCCGAGTTGCGCGACATTTTTGATTTTCAAAACCAAAATGGTTTTTTCCTCAATTCGACTTTTGTTATCGCTTATCTCATCAGAAGATTTCAGCACTAATCAACCCTAGGAGGAGATAAACTGGCCAGAACAAGAATAGAAGAAGAATTCACGCATTGCTAGCCTCACTACTCGCTATTTCCCTGTTTTTTTTATAAATGCGAGGATTATTTGTACTTTTAAGATTTCATTGCCAAAACAGGCAAAACAGCTAAAAACGGCGACAGCGTTATTGTAGTAATACTGCGATTTTGTGAGCGTAGATAACGCAATTGCTGGTGCTGGCTGCTGCCACACACCTCCGTACTGGCAAACTGATTCCTTAACTGTAGGAGAAATTTATTTCTTTGATTCAGTAGACTCATGAACGACATCCTAATCTTACATGAACTATGATTAATGAACCTACCGAAGTAGTCTTCAAGCGAAGGGAGCAGTAAAAACGAAATAGGGGAGATTTCGAAATTTCTGTGTGACTAACCCAAATTCTGGGGAAAAACCCAATAAATCTTCGAAAGAGTTCAACATGCTGACATAATCTTACATTGCTTTCTGGAAATACACTAATTAATCCATCCAGTTTAACCACTCCTCCTATTTCAGGGAGGAAAATACGACCTCACTACCGAAATGTCCTTGCCCTCTCTGTCCCATAGCTACGCAGCACACCTACGCATTAGCAATCCGCTGAAGGCAAACCCGTGCGTTCTCCGCCACATTTGCATTGTCGTCCGGCTTTTAAAGCATAACCGTGAAATGTGACATATCACTTAAAGTTGCACTTTGCCAACTTTAAACATTATTCCAACCCACATTTAATATTCGCTACGCCACTCGTTCTCGCACGGCACAGCCCGTTTTGCTGAATGCTTGGGTCCTAGCGAGATGCTTCAAATCTACATTACAAAAGCGCAAAACGTGGTAATTTGAGCCATGGCAAACAGAAGTGACGGTGTGCCGGCCTCTGATGATATCAGCTAGACCCTCATACGAACGCGATAAAGACCTCACTGCTTCCTATGACATCTCGAATTATTGACTGGGAGCGAACCAATCACACAGTACCCTAAGGCACCTAGATAATCGAAAAAATAACTGTTTTTGTTGGGGCTGCTTGCATCGAGCATTTTGAAGGCAACTTATCTGAACGAAACTCACACTCCGTTTCGGGTAAAATTGCACAAAGGCTCTCAGCCAGTAAACAAAAAAGTGGAATGAGAAAGGGTCCTGTGGTAGCTGCGAAATTCACCCGAGCGCCCAACTCGACTCTAAAAAAACAAAAACGAAACGATCAAATCAACCTGATCTATCATTTTGAAAAATTCCAAAGTCCCTCCCATCAAACCCCTCATCACGACCCTCTCTACCACAGCAGCTGAAAGAATTTCATAATATCCACGCCTCCCCACACCACCCTCACCACACAACAGATTACGTACAGATGATTCTAGATACCACTCGCAAAGCTCAACTCCGATCCACTTCCCTGCACACAGGCACTCACACCATCTACTACTCCAAATATCAACAAGATGGAAAAAACCTGTCCATGCTACACCATCCTACTCCGGAAATTTCAAAAATGAAAAACTTTGCCGCCATGTCAACACTCAAAAACCAAAACAAGACCTCTTCCAAACTCCCAAAACGATCACCTTGTTGAACTTGGGACAATGGACGGTTCTGCGAACAGCTCAGTAAATTGTAAAAAGCCGCACACATCCAGACAGCTCACCTTGATTTCTAGTTCACGTTGACTTGTTTTCAAATCCATTTCCAATTGGCGGACCTTAAGTCGTAGCCCTACCAAACTTTCGTCTCTTTCGCGAAGACAATCTTCCACATCTTTAGAAGCACTGAAAATCACCAAGAGATAGAGCAGTCCACAGGAATCCTTTTAGATAGATAAAACGTCATACGATAACTAATATGTAACTCGTCGTGCTCGCTTACCGCTCCAGCTTATTCTGAGCATCCTCTCGTAAACGGCTCATCTTTCCCTGCATACGTTTGTTCTCTTCCACTTTTTCAACGTACTTATTGTGTAACTCGATGTACTCCTAAAAGCTCTCTTTCAACGGTAGAGTGAGTTTTAGAGAAAATCTGCCAAGACGTACAAGTTTTTGATCTTCGGCCACTTTGCGCAACTTTTTGTACATTTCATAGATCTTGCTGTAGTCTTCATGCATGGAATCCAGTTCTGCTTTGATCGAGTCTCGCTCCCTTCAACAATCGGATTAAACGATGTTCTCGAATTCAACCGACGAGAATGGGATAATGAAAAAAGAGGTTGCTATCACATGCATGGCTCGGAAATCATGTATCAGGACCATTCGCGCGTAGACCAACAACCCTTCATCCTCCCAAGGTTGGATATTTGACAACATGTATGTACGTATAGCCTTATACTTAGACTCGAAAGTTATTGTAGGAGCTAATTGGGTTCAAGTGCCAAAAAGACCTCAAATGGTAGCCCACTGCCGCATCTCAAAAAAATTAAATTAATGTTTATCCTTTTATTAGCCCACGTCAAGCTGCAGAGCACTTTCGCTTCTGATCATTTTGAATTTTTTTCACAACTGTAATTTCAACAAGTCATCAGGTGCGAGATAACACAACGATGAAGCACCTTTCGAAGCTGATTCATCTCCATGTATTCTTATCTCCCCAGGCGAGTTTGCTATCAATTATCCAACTCGGAAGGACGGAAGGCTTGGTTGGTGTGATCCCGAGTTTAATCTAGGATTTAACTCACAGATCGAACGAGTGGCATGCACCACTTAGGTGTAACGTATCGTCCACAAATATGTCGTAAGCAATTAATTCCAACCAGGTGAGGAATTATTGAACAAATGACTGAACACAATGACCCAGGGTAAGTGTTCCCCACTCAAGTTATAGCGTAAAAGAGACCGACCTAGATAGGTTCTCATGCATCACCTGACTACCCAATGTATCAGGAATTTTCCCGTGCCGCCTCCCGAAAAATACGATGAGGCGAGCAAAAAAAGTAGATTCAATGCGGCAGGTCGCATTCCACCAGCGACGCGACACATCTTCCCTGCCATTTCGTAAGTAGATCAAGTAGAGGGGGTTAGAAGCTTAAGATAATCTTCCTCAAACACTTACGCAGATGCTCTGCACGATCCTCCACAGCTGCCGTTTTTCATATAACCATGCTCTTCAAGCCGTCCCACATGAATGTCTAAAATAGTGTGATGATTAATTGATTATAATAAAATTCTATCATATAATAATTTCGCGACCTCTTCAAGAAAAGGTCGCGAAATTTTTGAAATCTATTGAACGCGAACATTAACCCTGCTTCGTGCCGGCATCCTCTACGGTAAATCCAGTGAAATTGGGTGATATTACCATCTAACCTGAGCCTTCAAGTCTGGTGTGGGTAGGTAGTGTCCCTCAGCTTTCTGTTGGCAAGCAAACTGTTTGGTTCTGACCAATGTACTGTTCTGGGGCCATGAGTAACGTGATTAGTTGAGGCTAACAACCTCAGTTAAAATGGTGGGGTAGCGATTGATAATGATGGCGTTGAGAGAGAGCGCGAGGTTTTTCGTCCATAAAATCACACTCGCCATTACATCACTTTGTAAGGCCCTAGCACCATTGCTCCGCATTTTCAAGCCGCGACAACAGCACATTTCTCTGGTACTCGCGGGGTACTCTATCAGGCTACACGGATTAGATTCTTGACGCGACCTCATCTGGGGTTATTGCTTCAAATTCACCAAATATTGTCTAAGTGACCAATGAAAAGTATTTCCGTGCGATAGAATGTACAGAGCACCGAAAATATGAAACGCAAGGAAAACTATGATCACATTCTTTGGAATGAACTTTTTGAGTATCACAGTGTTTTCGAACACTCCTATTAGAATGATTCTTCCGAAATTCTGAGATAAACATGCTATGAGGTATGTACAACTATTGAGAGAGCTGAAAGTGTCTAGTGGACTGGGAAAACTACCATGAAATCCAGCCTGCGAGTGTGGACATCCCCTTCACCTAAGTTCCGCCGTGCGTTTATCCTGACACTATCTCAACCCGATGAAATAGAACCAAAACTGAAACGTGCACTCTAACACCTCAGACAGCCCCATTTAAATCAAAGGCGAGGCTCAAACCAAAATAAAGTACCAAAAAATCGATTCAAATGAAACATTTGAAAAAAGGCTACCAACATGCTCCGGACGTCAACTCCTCCAGCATCATTTCGTATTCGGCAATCAATTTCCCATAGACCATACGATTCGCTTCATTACTAACAGAGTCATGCTTTTCCATTTGTTCCATTTGCTCCATAATCTGAGAAAAATCAAAATATCCTTTAAAATAAAGTTTTGAGCACGATATCCCTGCAGGCAAAAATAGAAACATTAAAAACAGTCAGTCAGCACCTTAGCAAGACGTCCATTCATTTCACCTTCTTTCGTGCGAAAAAGATCTACCATTTTTGCTTCTAGCTCTTCCAACGATGAACCGGCTTGCTAAATTGAACCTTTTACATTTCTAAAAATTGAAAGATGCAAACCAATAATAACTGGGGGTTTGGGAGTTTATTCCAAAAACTGAAAGAAACTCCCAAAATTCCCAAAAATCGAAAAGATTTACCCTTGCTTCTGCAAATAATCTCCTCAGCTCATGGGTACCACAGGAATCCATGGTCATTGTTTTTTGACGGGTTGAACGTACATTTGGTCTATAAATAGAAACCGTGTCAACTGTGTAGGAAAGGCAAACAAGCACTGAAGTATCTAGCTAAACATGCTCTTCCAGTTGGTTGCTAATTCATAGCGAACCCTATATAATGCGCTAAGTCTGTCTGTCTGTCTGTCTGTCACGAAATTCCGTATTAAGCGGACAACAACCTACAGGGTCCAGGTCAAGTTTGGGATGGGTATACCATATCCTCTAGAAGTAAAAAACACACATCAGCCAAGCGGAGCCCCGCCCACAGTGGGCGTGGCGTGCATCGAAATGGTGAGGACCATGATTTCAAATTCAGTCACAAAACAGCCTCGAGACCGGGACAAAAGTGGGCATAGGTGTGGGTTGGTAAGCCAGATCGAACTGAGGAGACCCACCCTCGGTGGGCGGGGCGTTCTCTAGAAAATGGGTGCTCAGTGAAAATATTCATAACTCGGTTAAGAGGAAGCCTACAGACCAGAAACGAAATTAGTGCAGGGGAGCAATGCCTAAGGTATTTCCACCACGCATGATGTGAACGGAGGCCCGCCCACAATGGGCGGAGCGTGTCGTGAAGCGGACAGCGTTTTCTACAAGAGCTCATAAATCGGCTCCGAGATGACTTAGAGACCGGAAAACAGCGGATAGAGGTCAGGAGGGGAGGGGAAGCTAAATGTCAAGAATGGGCGTGGCTTGCATCAAAGTGGGCGGAGTTTGCAATTAGGCTTATAACTCGGTTCCTAGGAGTCCCGCAGTCCGGGAAAAAAGCGTATAAGGGTTGGCAGAGGGAAAGGGGTCAACCGCTGTTTGGCAGGGCCGGAGCATGCGCCAAAGTGGGCGGGGTTTGCCACGGTACTTTATAACTCGGTTCCAATAAGTTCTGGAGATGGGAAAAAGTAGAAAAAGGTTGGGGAAGAGATGAAAGTCAACTGATAGCAGTGGGCGACCCATGCACCAAAGTGGGCGGGGTTTGCCACAAAGATACGTAGCTCGATTTCGTCCCCTACAGGACCTCATAATTCTGCTCCGAGACGACTTAGAGACCTGAGAAAATGTGTATAGGAGTGAGAGGAGGAGTAGAGGTTGAATGTGAACGCTGGGCGTGGCACCCCGAAGTGGGCGGAGTTTGCCACCACTCTCATAACTCGGTTCCTAGAAGGCTAGCGACCGGGAAAATGTGGATAAGGGTTGCCGGAGGGAAAGGGGTTAAATGCTATTGGTGGGCTAAGCATGCACCAAAGTGGGCGGGGTTTGCCACAGAAATTCATGACTCATAACGTCTTCTACAAGACCTCATAATTCGGCTCCGAGATGACTTAGAGACCTAAAAAATATGTGTAGAGGTGAGAGGAGGAGTAGAGGTTGAATGTGAACGCTGGGCGTGGCACACCCCGAAGTGGGCGGAGTTTGCCACCACTCTCATAACTCGGTTCCTAGAAGGCTAGCGACCGGGAGAAATGTGGATAAGGGTTGCCGGAGGGAAAGGGGTTAAATGCTAATGGTGGGCTAAGCTTGCACAAAAGTGGGCGGAGTTATGCACGAAACATTATTACTCGGTTCCAAGAAGTCTTGGACACCAGGAAAAAAGTATAGAGGTCAGCGAAGGAAATGAAGTCTCAGTGGGCAGGACATGCGCAAAAGTGGGCGGGGTTACCCATGAATTTCGAAAGAGGAGTGTCTCCAAAGCAGCCGTACCTTGGAATCTCACTCAGCAGCTCTGCAGTAATAGAGAGAGAACATTGGTCACAGACATAATTTTTCAGCCTTACCACCTTCCGAAAAAAACCCTGTCTTGGAAGAAAGACCCTCTCCGAAACCGCCTTATAGTTATAATAGAAAATATAGTTTGACCTAATAGTCGGTGTAAATGGGATGTACCGAAAGAAAACTAAAATCTAGAAAAGAACAGTGATCATCCTGTTTGAACCCCCGTGTGATGCACGCGAATGCGTGCGCAGCCAAACTGGTATATTAATAAATGTCTTCCGGGATATCTGTTGTGCAGATGACTTCAATAAGACCTTGACAACATCATGCGTTTTTGCTACCTGGGTAATGGGAAATAAGCAACTTTGCGAAGGCGGCCAATGAAGCAGTTACAGTTAGGTATAACCTAGTGAACAAAAATCAACAGCCTGGAGAAGAACCCAACGGCAAGGAAGAGGAAGTGTTTAAGGGGGTGTAGTACCTCGCCGGCTCACATGTCCAGCAAAAGCTGTGGTATGCTCGACATGAGGCTCCGCCCACTACGCAAACTCCGCCCCTTTTTATTTTTTCAAATTTTTTTCCAAGACGCTATGCCGCAATAAAGTGGTTATATCTCGACTCCCAGCCCCTACCCAGACACCAAACTTATACATACATACATACATACTACATACATACATACATACTCCGCCCACCACGCAAACTCCGCCCCTTTGTATTTTTTCAGATTTTTTTTCCAAAATGCCATGTCGCAATATTCGGTTTCAATCCATATTTTGTATCCATACATACATACAACATAAAGGATAAGGATAAAGCATTTGCCGTTGATCAATCCCTTTTTGGGATGCGGCACGCATTCTACTTCCATTTGTACATTCGTAGTGGCGTTTGAATGCGATGTGGCCTATACAATGACTTGCGGGGGCCAGCCGATGTACAAGTCAGTGTTTTTATCCTCCCAGACAAGTCTGGTACCAATTAACCGACCCCGGAGGGATGGAAGGCTTGGTTGGCCCGGGCGACTCACGACCCAGGATTTGATCCCCGGACCGCTCGCGTGGTAAGCCACTTGCCACTACACCACTTCCGCCCTATACACACATACATACATGATATATACAACATGCTACGCCCATTATATAAGGCTTATATAGGGCTATGGTA